CGGGGACCCCTGCGTGGGCCGGAGGCTCGCGGGAGGCCGCCGCTCCCGGCCGCTGCCGTCGCGGGCGGCGCGGTGCACGCACCTGGCTGGCGGCATCGCGCGGGGCCGTGGGTCCTCCGCCCGCCGTGGTGCAGGCGTCCGACCAGGTCCGGAGGCTTTGTGCGTGTCCCGGCTGCAGGGGGGGTGTTCCTGTCACCCGGGGCGGACGGGGGGGCGGGATGGAGGCCAGGGCTGTTGCCCAAGTTCCCCGCAGTGCCCGGGACCGCCCCACATGCTCCGGCCCCAAAAGTCAGTGCCGCGGGCGGGGGGTGGAGCGGCCCTGCCAAGTGGCCGGCTGCTCGGAGGGACCGCGCGGCGCCCGGGCTGCAGCCACCCCCGGCCCGCCAGCAGCTGCACGTGCACCCAGGCGCCTGCCTGCAAGTGGGGGCAGCACGCGCTGCAGTGCATCCGAGGGGCTTTTGCAGCCCTCGCCCGGGCGCTGCGCGCTCCCGTAGCCGTTTGGGGTCTGCCTGGAACTTCCGTCACCAGCTGAGTTCAAGCACAAGTTCAAAGAACACACTCCGTGCATGCAACGCTAGAGAGACCCGTCCCGAGGGCTCCCTGGAGCCTGACCTCACGGCTTGCAGAAGAAGGCTTCCTAGCGCTTTGTCAAACATGTCCGCATGGTTTTTTGGAGACGACTCACCCCGTGGCCGTGTGCCATAGGCATGCATTCGTCTCGTAAAAGCCATGCAAGGGCCAGGGGCACATGTTTGCATTCCTTAATTAAAACCAAAAGCTTAATTAAAACCAAAAGCACTGCAGCTCAGAGAGGTGGAGTTACTTGCCTGAGGTCACACAGCTCCCAAGGAGCAGAGCTGAGAAATGCTTTCAGACCCATCGGAGTCTAAATATAAATGATTGGCTCATCTCACACGGTGAGCATGACCTTGTCCCCTGCTGCTCTTTTGGCTTGGCGGTTCAGTAGTAATGAGCTGATTTTTTAAAAGGCCCACACACACAACTTTCTTTTTTTATGGACCCAGAGAGAAATACGGATGAATTCTTAAGGAAAAAAAGAAAAAGGAAAAAATCCCCATAGGGTCAGTAATTGGAGAGAACTGGTGTATGCTGCCACTAAATCCAGCATGACTCAATTTCAAAAAAGCTGCTGGGATTCCTAAGTATAGTTTGTAGACATGCGTTTTCCTGCTCAGGTGGTCAAGAAGTTAAATTGCCCAGTTCCTTACTTACCCTCTAATGAAAGGTCCAGAGAGTCTCATGAATTTTAATGCCAGCCGCGACGTGTCATTAAAATTAAATTTATTAAGCTTCTAAATGAGCGTGATGCTGCCTCTGGACTCTGCATTCCACACATAAGCCGTTCCCTGAAGGGATGAATGTGGCTTTCGGGGCGGTTCCCAGCTGAGGACCCCTCTTCGCTCGCGAAGGGCAAGTTGGAACGGTTTAGCACCTGACTCTGTTACCACCCAGTCCTCGGAACTGGTCAGAAAACCAAGCATTAGTAGCATTTGGCAAGATAAGACCTAGCTCTGCACCCCCCCTCCCCCTTTCCTGCCCTTTTTTTTTCTCCTTTCCTGTCCTTGTCCTTGGAGAAAACTTGGTCGCAAATTCACCTTTGCTCATTTGTGTTTTGTTTGTTTTGTTTTCATGAAAAGCCTTGCAGAAGGCTGCATTCCGGAACGCGCCTGTTTGCCTCATTTAATCGACCCAGTTCTGCTTTGATTCTTAGGTGCCTCACGGAAGTATATCTGGCGTGGGCATGAGGGTGCAGCCTGCGTGTAGAGGCAGGGCCGTGCTTCCGAATTTTCAGTGCCTTTCCCCAGGAAGCTCTGTGTCATTGTTGCCGGATACCTGATACACTATGCACGATACTCCACTCTTAGGGAAGTGAAATTGACAACAGATACCTGCATAGTACGGGCAAGCTCCTTTTAATCCAGGGGAATGAGGAAGTAAAGGGAGATTTTTGCAGCAGTGTTGACAGGATCAGGCGCCCTAGTGCTCTTGAATCGCGTGACGTGTTAGTTGTCCCTTCAAACAGAAAAGACACTTTTGGATTCTGCCTTTGTTGGCACAAGGTACCAGTCGGCTGTGATCTAGGTAATCATTTTTGGCTCTCAGAGGTCATTTAGAGGTAGAAGCAGGGACTGAAGTTATTTACGAACCGGCACAAGGTTTTGAAGGAAGAAGAAAGAGGACGCATATTAAACTATCTCAGCCCCTGGGTGGGGACGTTACCTAGTTCACGAATAATTGAAATCCGAAGCACAGGGCTGGGCCCATTCTCTTTAAAAACACCAGGAAGTTTGTTGTGTGACTCAGCAAGAACAGAAATAGGACCACGGAACATTTTCTAGCAGCAACGTTAGAAAACCGAAGGCACACAGAGGACAGGAACTTGAACGGTACCTTTTTGTTTCTAGCCTAACATCCCAACTATTGTCACACAGCATATATATAATCAGTGTAAAAAGTCACTGACGTTTTTTACATCCATTGTGGACGCCCAGCCTTGGAAATGCGTATTTGACAGCCCCAGCCCTTCTCAGGTCAGGTTAGCCACCTCTGTCCAGTGGCTACCACCGTGGGCCGCGTGGGGCCAGATCTGAGGACACGACGCATGATGTCTGCTCTTGGCAACGGGGCCACACAGAGGGTGGCTATTAAGAATGTTCAGAATTAGGGACTTTGGTCTGTGTAAAATGTGGCGTGTGTAAACTGTATTTTCGAGGTGTCTGAGACGGTCATGATTTAGAATCCTGAAAAAAAATCAGCCAAGAAAAGTAAGCTCAGTTTTAAAATTGTTTAAAAACATGAGCAGAACATAAGAAGGTAGATCTGTTAGGGGAGTGATGTTTGCGGCGTTGATTGCAATTGACCCCGTTTTCAGCAGTGCGCGCAGAAGGCAGGATTTCAGTGGGCGACAGACACGGGGCCTCCACATCGTAGAGCCGATGACCTGTTGCGTGCCTGTTCACACGCCCGTACCTTCCTCCTTGCCAAATCCTGCACTTGAGAGTTTGGAAGTGTCTGTTTGTCTGGGGCCCTGGATTCCGTCCCTATAAGCTCCTGGAGGGGCATGGACTCTGGTGGGCCTCTGAGCCCAGGAAGCCACTGGTGCACTGAACCCATTCGCAGCCGCGTCCAGGGTGGTGAGAATCCCGCGTCACGCGGCCCTGCTCGCCTCGCCTCAGCTCATTCAGACACTGACGCATCTGCAGGGCTGATGACAGAAATAGCGTTTTCTTATATAAATCAGGGCATGCCCTAGATTAAGTCTAGGAAGAACCACCGTGCTTTGTCGTTTGACCCCGCGCAAGACTTGTATGGGGTTTAGACGTGGAGCTGAGGGGCCTTTCGGGGTCCATTGGTGTTGTCACTGGATGTCACTCACTCCGTCCATTCGCTGAGGGCCTGGGCGCTTTCTCGGGAAGGCAGAGCAGAATAAGGGTGCCCGGGGTGCTCCTTGTGCAGGGATCCCCGTTGCAATGAGACCGTCCTTCCCAGCTGTTCATTTGGGAGACCGCCCGCTTGGGCTGTGTGCATCGTGGTCCGTTTCTGGGTGTGGGGCGGGTGCAGGGGGGCCTTTCACCTCTCCGCCCCGGGAGCTAACAGCACACACGAGGGCTTTATTTCACTTGCGTTGCTTGGTGACATGTGGTTCCTTCCCCGTTGATAAAGGAGCGGGCTGAAATGTGGAGGTCGGTGTGCGGGAGGCCTGCGGGCTGAGCAGGGCCCGCACGGAAGGGGCCCTGGCTTCAGCTTTTCCCAGCGCCCCGGAACCGGGTCGTCCTGCGTGGGGAGCTGCAAGGGCGTGTGGGATCCGGCGTGGCCCCTGGGAGGGCAGGACTCCTGTGTTCACATGAAGCGTCCAGAGTGAGATCTGCCGGGCTCTGGGAGAGGCAGCGGCCGTGAGGAAGCGGCCCCGCCGTGGACCCCCGTGGGGAAGCCCAGCTCTCTCTGCGCCTGCTTCCCGGTCCGAGTCCCCTCTTTTAACCAGCCATTCAGTGGTCCGCCATCCACCACAGCTGCTCCTGTTCCTAGAATCGCCGAGAAGGGGTGACGTGTACACTGCACAGTCCTGCAGATAAACAGGAGCTGCGGCCAGCGGCCAGCGTGACTAAACCGTCCCGCGGACTCCGGTCCGTGCACGTTCGCAGCCCTTTCCTCGCTGTCTCCTGGCTTCCTCGTCCTCACAGGCCGCCTTCATCTGGAGCCTTGGCCATGCGCATGGGGTGTAATCCTGGGGGGGCCGTCCTCATGCGCTCTTAGGAACCCAGTTTTTACTCAGCTGTAACCTTCCCCTTGAAAGGCTGTGTGTTGGGCATTCTTTGTCGTGATGGATGTGATGCACTGTTGACTTGGATATTTTTTGACGACTGTAATTGAAGTATCAGCTGTGTGCTGTCATTTTTCAGGGGTAGATGGAGATTTAATGTAGCGCTAAAGAGCAGGGGAAGGAACGCTCCCAGGAAACGTCCCCCGAAAGCACTCATTACATAGATGCCCAGCTGACCTGGCAGGCCTTTCGGATGAGATGTTTGCAAAGCGATCGGTACACAGCCTGTAGCTGGCAGGTACAGCAGCGTTATTCCGGAATGGGTTACGTTGGAAAGTACAGGTCCTACGGTCAGGCAGACGTGAGTACCGGTGACTAATAAATACAGCATTTGCCGTATTAAAATCTTCACTTAATTCGTTTACCACGGGAGGGGCAGGCTTGCTTTGATGGTGCACATACCTGGGGTTTAAAGTGCCTCCAGGACGTCTCGCGAGAATTTCCATGAAAACGTAATTAATGATCGCCGCACACGTACATTTCTGCTCAAGTCACTTTTTTCCCCTTCGCTTTGGCAAGACAGTCAGACAGGGGACCACGGCGATACCTGACCCCAGTTCCTTCCTGTGCTGTTTAACATGATTTTGCAGAAGAGGTTTAGTCATCGGGATATATTATGCAGCCCTTCTGTATATCGTTAGTATTTATTATTAGATCCAGTAAAGTAATACCTCCGCTTACGGAGCGGATGGCACTTCTGTGAAGTCGCCTGAAGGACTTGGCGTGTTTCTCTAATTGCATCTCTAATGCTGGAGAGTACACGCACTGCACCTGTCTTGATAGTTACAATTTTATGTTTCTAGGGAGTGGCCTGGGAGTAGAGCCGGGGTCCGGAATTCCAGGGTGAACGTTAACACTGGTCTCCATCGGTGTCGTAGTTTAGGGTTCGTTTTCAGGGGCCCGCAGGCATCGTTTCTTCTGTCCCGTGGGAATGACGTGGTCCCCCTTTTCCAGCTGATGTGCCCCCCTGGTCTGGGCTCCCGGCCCTGTCTTCCTCCAGGGAGCGAGCGCTTGCCCCCTTCCGTCGGAATTATTAGCTGCCGCTGATCCTTCTTTCTTCCCCCAGTGCTCATAGACCTCGGCGCACAGTAGGCTGAATGTATCATTGAAACGAAAACAGGAGCACCGCCTCAACCTCGGGGTCCCGCCATAGTGCATGTCTGTCCCCACTGAGAGCCATCTTCTGGAAAAAGCAGGTGACATCCCCCCTGCCCCGGCATAGCCCTGTCGGCGCTCCCTGCAAGCTGCCTCCCGCCCTACAGCGCACAGACGAGGGAGCAGTGCCTTCCTGTTAGCTGACCCAGTAGGCACGCTTCTCACATTTCTAGAACTTTCTGCATCACTTGCCCCTTCCGCACTCTGCCCTTGGGAATCTCTGTCATTGTCCTCACCGAGCCTTTGTTCCTCTCCTGTGTCCCCTCGGCCTTCCCCTTCCTCCTCCCTTCTGTGGGGGGCCCTGTGACTTGGCCGAGGACCCCGTCTCTCTCGGAGGCCTCTTGTGAACTCGCGGCTTCCGCCCGTGGTCTTGCTCTGACGACTGGCCTCTGGGGAACGCCGTCACCTGTCCCGTGAGCTTGCTGCACACTTCGCAGTGGCCGCTGGCCAGCCCAGCCGTAGCCGAGAGGCCCAGGGCAGCACTGGAGCACCGGGGGTCTTCCCTCCTCACCGACCTTCTCCCCGACATCCGAGGCCCCCCTGCCTTTCTAAGCCCTGCAGGGCCGTGTTTGTCTCATTCCAGCTGCTTTCAGTCTTTCCGCATCTGACAACAGTCAGTGTTGATCAAGACCCTTCAGCGCTGTTGACAGCACCTCACTCAGCCCCCAGCAAGCTGCCGGCACCCCGTTATGGCTGCTGGTGAGGGCACCCAGGCTCCCTGAGGTCAAGCGACTTCACTTCAGGGGCGCTGACTCCCAGGTGCCGCCTCGAGCCCTGGCCCACAGACAGACTCAGGTGTTCTCAGTGCAGAAGGAGCTTGGCGGCTGGTGAAGTTGGTTGCTCACGTGGCTGACGTTAGCATCTGAGTTCTGGGGCCCAGCAGATGCATTACATTTGGATGAAGAAAGCTTTGGTGAGAGGGTCGCCCTCACCAGGAATTGCCCCCTAGAATATCCCTGCTTTCCTTCGTCAGAGGAATTTGAGCATAACGTGGTCCCTCAGTGCTTTCCAAGGGAAAGAGTGCTCGTGCAGATAAAATCTCCCTGAGCTGTGTGCCCACGGTGTGGCGGCGGCTGTCTGCCTGCTGCTGGTAGTGGAGCTTGGATACCTGGTGATACGCAAACATGTGAGTCACCCCTGGGGTCAGCCAGGTGCCGCCCTGTGGACAGGCTCCCTCCTGAAAGCTGCAGCCCTATCGCCATAGCATCTCGTTAAACCAGTTGTGCTAATCTTGTTGGGATGACAGCAGCCTGGTAACCCCAGGTGAAGCTGTCTGCTGGGTCATTAGAGCAAACAGGGTAGCCCGCCCCCCCAGGGCAGTTCCAGTGGTTGAGAGCAGCTGGCCTGTGGCTGGGTCTGCAGATGGCTGAAGGCGGGTGGCACTGGCTGCTGCTGAGACTTTGTTTGGGGACGGAGCTCCCCGTTGAAAAGCAGTGTAAGGAAAGCTTGCTCGGACGTCTCCACGAGGGCTCTCGAGCACGGCGTTGTTCAGGGCTCGGCAACGGGCTGGTGCATTGATGAGCTGTAGGTTTTGTAGCACCAGGTGCTGACAGGTGCGCCGAGTGGCCAAACGCCGCCCCTGCGGAGGCTCCCCAGGACGCGTCAGGGTGCAGCGGGGTGCGTGTTCGGGGAAAGCAGACGTTTTCCCTCTCACTGCATTCTCCTTTCTCCATCCATCTGCTGAGCTGACCCAGATTCCTGCGCGCCGGGGGGAGGCGGAGGACGGAGGCTGGCGGCCCAGAGGGCCTCCCCAAGGAGAGGGTTTGTCCTGAGCTGCAGGTCGGGCTGCAGGAGGTGCTGAGGTGGAGGAGACGGATGCAGCTGTGCCGTGGGAAGGCCTGCGTGATGCGGAGCATGGCTGACGCTCAGGCACCGGGCGGGAGCCCGGCGAGGAGGCGGTTGTGGCT